AAGTTGATTATAATATTTTAAATATTGTGTTTACGTCCTCAACCTTTCATAAAAACTTATTTTCTTATTTATTGCAAAATTTTCTTATTACCGTTATAGGAAATCTTAAGTTGACTAAAAAAAATTGATATAAATATGACTGAAAATAAAGTCCCTCAGACTTCAATGGGGATATAAAAATCTAAGTTTAATTACCAAAAAATATTTTTTTTCGTTAAATTATAAATTTAGTCTTAAAAACTTTTTAAGTCTAAAAAATTCCAATTAAACCCTGCATTTTGAGTTAGGCTTATATATAATCTATGCTATTAACGTCATTATCAAAATACTGACATGATATGCACATTACATAATCTTTGGTAAGGTGGGATTGTACAAATGCGATAGATGGTTGGATAGATAATGAACATGTCACATCAACATTTTTTGTTCATATATATTCATAAAATTCACGGTCGGACTAAGTCTATTAATTTGCACCAAATGTACCTCATACAAAATTAGAAATGAAAAAAAATTATTCAAAAGGAACAAATCAAGAGATAAAATAAACACACCAACCAAAACAATAACTCAATTAGCCTCCAAGGAGCACTTCGATTGGCTTAGTTTTCTCGGTCCTACTAATTTAGAAGTCTCAAATTTGAAGCCCATGTCTTGAAGCAGATGAGGATGACCCTGGATATAGAAGAAAAAAAGTTCGAAAGCACTAATCGAACCTCGACCACTCCACATTGATAACAATAAAACATACTCAAGTATTTAATAAGATATATCAATAACTTTTTCTAAACATCAAACGTTTGAATCTCGATTCTAAAAGATCCAATGTTCGAATCTCGATCCGTGCATATCATTTAATATAAAGTATTATTAAAATGTAGACTCTTTTTAAATAGAGGGAATGAAGGAGGAGACAAAGCGTGCGATGAAATGGACGGCCGCCGATGAGAAGAAACACAAAAACTCGCAGGGGTTTATAACTTCCATGGCGTGTCAGTCCTTCATCTCTCTCTCCACATATAATTGAAAATGTAAAAAATTAAAAAAAAAAGGGGGGTTTAAAGTTTTTACCGTCAATTTGAACCAATAGATCCACGGTTAGATTTGCTTTTTTCTCTCTGCACGCAGACTCCTCGTTTTCCTGCGAAAATTGCGTTATTAACAAATTAAACCTCTCGGAACAAAATTTTACTTTTTAACTTTTCCACCCTCTTCTTCTTTCTTCCTCCTCATCATCTGCAAAATTCTCCCAAAACCCTAATTTCTTCCTTTTTCCAGAAGATGGGAGATTAATAGAAACCCTAGAGGGGGGATTTTTGTATTTTGAACCTGCATCGAACAAATAACACATCCAATTATATCGTTCCAGTCCCTCGAATGATTTTATGATCTTCTTCGCTCGGGAGGAACCCTAATAACAAAAATTGAGAGAGAGAAAGGAGAAAGAGATGGTAAAATATGCATGGCTCCTCATACGCCATGTGCAGAGGCCATCGGAGAGTCGATAAGCTCCACAAATGGCATACAGGGAGCCAGGCACATACACAACAAATATTCCTCTAATCCCACCATTAACCTTGCATGGCACTCTCTGTAACCAAATTCCAGAAATAGTTCAGCAGTTAAAATATCTCTAATTTTTTCAGAAACGTCGTAACTTCAGGGGGTCTGGACTCCATTCAATAGAAGAAGATGGGTTTGGTGTGTTCTTGGCCAAAAGCTAGCTAGCTAGCCTTCAACATGATCCTAGAGAGAGAGAAAGAGGGAGAGGAGAGGGAGATAGATGGGAAGAATTGAGAAGGGGGTGAAGAGAGGAAGATGGGGAGGTATATATTCAGAAGGGGAAGGGGGATTAGAGAGAGAGAGAGAGAGAGAGAGAGAGGAGAGAGAGAGAGAGAGATTGCTTGGTCATGAGATCAAAGGAAATGAAAAGAGAGAAATGAGAAATTTAGGCCCACAAAAACCCTATAGAATTGGCATAAAACATGCAAGCAAACAAGTGGGCTAAACTTAGGGAATTAAGGAAGCTTAATGTATGGTGGGGTTTGTGTGTAGTTTTTCATGGGGGGAAAGGGAAAATTATAATGAAATCAAATCAAAATGAGGGCTAGAAAGGAGCTAATTTCTTTAATTTCTTCTCTCTTTTTGTGGGGTTGTAATTGCATCCTCATCTTTTGCTTCTAAATATAGGCACATCTCTCCCACACAAAAATTCCTTACTCATTCTAGAGAGAGAAAACATCATCATAATCATTTAGAGAGATAAACAACGAGAAATGAAACGTATTAAATATGTCTGTCTTTCGTTAATCCACTCGATGAATGGTTAGAAAACAGTGTTTTACGATCTTTGATCTATAATTGATGAGATCTAACTGTGTAAAATTCGTGGGTAGCACTGTTTCAGCCATATCTGATAATCTCGACTCGAGAGAGGATGTATTAGGAACCACGCAAGTTCCTAAGCAAAAGGGATTGAGATCTCTCTCCTTTTCTTTGGTGTATCATAAAAGCAAAAATTGCTTTTGTATTCTGAATCTCATTTTGTCTTGGAGTGTTTGGAAACACATATGATTCCTCTATCTCCCACTTCCCTAATTTGCATTTCTTTTATGCCTTTCTAACTTCGATTAAACCATTAAAAAATGGGGAAGATATGGAAAATACCATAAAGTATCAATCCATCACACCCTCTTTTATTTTTCTCCACATCACTTTTATTTTTTTTATTTCCATCACATTTCTTTATTTTATTAAAAAATTAATGAAAGACAGAGATTTCCACTTGCTTTATTCTCTTCCCCCCTTATTTACAAATCTAAATGGTTTCTCCTACCCCATTAGAAAACCTAATTCACTGGCTCATCAACTTTTAAAATACACTTTTTTGTCCATTCTCACATACCCATTTTGATATATATATATATATAATTATTTTTTGGTCATGTGTTTAATTTGGATAACCAAATTTTAGAATAATTAGCTAAGGGAGTGATTGATGATCAGTAATTATCCATAATTAGGTCAAAATAGATTATATGTCTTTCTTGTTTTCTTTACAAAGTTGTCACATCCTAAGGAAGAAAATAACCCAGTTTGATCAAATAAAATAATTGGTTTGGTTCATATAATTTAAAACATGAAAACCCTTGATTGGTCGAATTTGCTACTTTTTAAGTCATCTGCCACATCAACCATCAAAACTAGTCAAGATTAGAGGTAGAAAGACACAAATTAAAGTTAATTATTATCAACTCCACCAAAATTAATCTAATGATCGTGTCGTGCTATAGTGATAGTAATTAAATAGAAGCATAATCCAAAGTCCAAATAACTTAATTGAAACTTTTTATTGGTTTTTTTTTCTGATTTATTTGAAGAATTTGAAACTGTAGAATTCCCCATATGATGTCTAGGGTAATTTGTATGAATATATATGGTGAAGGTTTTGTTTGAGTTTTTTGGTCAGAAAAATCATATGTTTTGTAATTGAAATCACTGTGTATTGTTTCAATGAATAGTCAATGTCTGCACAAGAATCTTTAGCTGTCAAAACAATGCTCTTCCAACGAGAGGTTTTTTAGGGCAGGCATAAGGGGGAAAAATGGACAGTGTCAGATCCAAAATATTTAATTAAAAGAAATATATTGAAAACTTTTATTAAATATTTTAATTATAGTCAAATAGAAATGTGTAATGTAAAAAAAATGTGTAATATAGTTAATCTGATTATTGAAGGTCGTCCAGTGTTTACTAATAATTTTTCATCCAAATGATTTTGATCCAAAGATTATTCATTTACTTGAATATTATTCAATAGAATTGCTAAAGATAGTTGTTTTTTTTTGGGGTAAATTTTAAAGAGAGATGGGGTTTTGAGAAATATTTATTTAGTTTTATTAAATTTTAGAAAAGTTAAAATTTAGTTAAGGTTCCAGAATCTGTTATATAGAAATTGATTATATAATTAACTAAAAAAAGTATTATTTTATGATTTAGCAGACATTTTTTCTTTTTATATATACTGAGTACATGCGCCGAAAGGCAAATTTCAAGCAGTTCATGTAGCCTAGACAGCTACTTAGGGATGGTTCCTCATTCAATTAATTTAAAATAAATTTTTAATACCTTTCGTTATGTTGAAATCGTACTCTCAGAAAATCAATATCCTATTTCTGTCCTTGTGTTTTTATTTATTTATTCTAATGATTCCAATTTCCAATGAAATGTAACTAGACTGATGGACTATTAGTAAACAATAAGTTAAATTGTACATTTATTTATTCTATTTTAGAAATTACATCTAGTTAGTTTTAAACATTGAAAATCTTATAATACATGATTACAAGTATTATTATTACTATAATTAGAATGGTTTAAAATGCTAATCTAAAAAATAGTTAAAATTGTTTGTCTCGTCGTTGAATATGTTTTCTTAGCTCCAATTTTACATCATTTACATCATTAATACACAAGATATTAAATCATCTTTGGACATGCACCTACATATTCATGAAATAGAATTCGATACGATGAGATAAAATGAGAGGGATGCAATTAAAGACATGAAAATCAATGCGCCAATATTTTCAATTTTAGAAAAATATATATGTTGTTTTTTAAGTGCGTAAAAAATTCACTTTTCTATAAATGCATATTAGTTTTTTAAAAAAAAACTTACAAAATGGAAGTAACAATTAATTTTAAGTCAAACTTCTGTGTTATTAGATTTGCATATCTCAGGCCATAAATGGATACATCTCAACTCAACATTATGTAAATCTAAAAACACAACCTCTTGATCGGACATATATGTCAATTACTATTAAGCTATTATCGACCATAAATTTAAATTTATGAAACTTATTACAAATCACAAAAAAGCATATATAAATCAAATATGAATTACACAAACTCAGAGAGCAATAATAACATAAACATAGAATAAAACTCATAATGAAAATCATGATCATGACCATGACCAGTCAAAATATCATGAGAGAGAGAGGGGGGATTAGGGAAAAGATAAAAAGCAAGAAATGGGAGAGCGAATATTCAAAGACATACTTTTTTCTGCAGTCGAAGAACACCCATTTGCCCACTTTGGAATGAAACAAAAGATTTGCGAATAATGTAGAGAGAGAGAGGGGGAGGAGAGAGGAGAGAGATTTGCAATGCAATGCAATACAAAGCAAAAAGGCTGCAGTAATAGTGCAGAGGGGAAAGAAATTGGTTTCCCACTGTGGGCTGTGGCTGTGTGGCTGTGGCTGTGGGCTTACCTTTCCATGAATGTAGAAAATGGTAAACGATCAAAAGGAAAGCAAACCAAACCCATATTTGCAAAATGGCAGCACAACTACAAAAGCTGTATCGTTTAGAGCTTTGGAAGTAACAAGTGTGGGAATCCCTGCCCTGTCAGAATATATATATCAGAATTTTGTTATCTTTTGCATTACTCTACCCCTTTCACCCTAATACTTGATATCTCCCTAATCTATATTACCCTAATTCACAATTTCAACTTTCTATACATGAAGTAGCTACATGATACATGAAATCCAACTCTGTTCATTTTTAAGGATCAAAAGATAAGAGACCTAACAAGGGGGTTACAAATATGCATGACCTACTCTAGTTATTTTGAAATAGAACTTATCACAGTCCAAAAACTAGCTCAAGTGAGCATCTGGTAAAAAAAATGAGATTCGATCAAAATCGATGAGTCAAAAGAACCATGATCTTGAAGGGCATATTAAGAATCTCACGTTGAAAATATAAAAGATCTAATAAGGATTTATAATAGTCATACTACTTCTCTCATTGTCAGAGATAAAACCCATGAATATTAATAGTTAATCGACAAAATCCAATTCTAATCATCGACAAAATACACTTATTTCTTTTCTTTTAGAATGGCTCAGCTAAGAATTTTCAAGGGTGAAATAAAGAAATTTGAATTAAGAGGTGTGAGAGAGAGGAGTGTGTGTGTGGGTGTGGGTGTGTGTAAGGTACATGGGGTGTGGTTTTGTTTTGTAATCTTCTGTGGTTCTACACGCCTCGATCTTCACAGAAAAACAAACCCATTCATGCACCCACCTGTTGGCAATATCTTCATCATGGCAAGTTTATATATAGTTTGCCTCAGACCATCATGTGCTGCTCTACAATCTCTCTCTTCCTCTCCCCTCTTTCTCTCTCTAGCCCCACAAGCAACAGCTACTAGACATACTCTTTTATACTTACACACCCTAAAGAAACATTAGACCCAAAAAAAAAACAAAGAATGTTAGGGTTTTATGGTTTTTATAACCCTAGCTAGGCTAGCTGGTGTGTAGTTTAGTTCAAAGTTTGAGTTGGAAAATTAAAATTTTTGCAAGTCTGTTTTCTAGTTTAGTTGGGTGGTTTTTTCTTTTCTTTTCTGTTTTGTTTGTTTAGGTGGTGCATTGGTGATTTGTAAAATTAAGTGAGCATAACCGAAGAGGTGGATGAAAAATACTCGCCTACACATTTGCTAACAATGACTCCTGTTGACCTTTTATATCTTTATTGGCTCAAAAGATTGTCACATTGAAAAAAATTAATAGGATCGGAACTACTACTGACCAGTGTATAGATGTAAAATTTTCTAATATTTTTGTGGAAGAAATATGTACTCATGTAGTGTTAGAAATTTTTTTTACGTGGAACTAGTAGTAAGAGATGAGATTATTAAATATAATTTAAAACGATTTAGTCCTACGGTACACTTCAAACTTATAAATTAATGTTAGATATTTTTTACTGGATGTTTGTTTGAGTTTTTTAACTAATATGATACCACATCATATCTGATTACACCGGCCACCAATAAACTTAAAGCCTTAAATTTAAGTTAACGAGTTAAATTAAATTTAATCATTTATATTAAATGTCTAACGATATCAAATATCAATTATCTCAGCTACAAGAGCTATCCCTAGATCTCTATAAAGGTTCCAAGAAAATATACAACAGAGGCAACACAAATTAGCTAGTCACCAGTGTGCTTCATGTGCTGATGTGTAGTCTCCAATCCACTATACATCAGTTTGATGAATATTTAAGAGTGAGTTTAAAACGAGTTTTGATAATTAATAATGATTTTTAGTGGCACATTTTTTTTTTCTGTTAGCACTAATTAAGTCTTTTAAATTCAGAAAATCATTTTTAATTATATAACTACTCTCTTCCAAATTTTTTTCAAAATTTTAAAAAGTGATTTTAAGCTAACCCCTTGCCAGACCTACACATGATACACTATACAGGCTAACGCCAGTTTACTGGAGATTGAGGGACCATAAATCAAACTGTACTTCCATAATCCAATATTGTCCTTCTTATAAGGACCACTGCATTTTTTTCCTTTTCTTTGTTTCGTGATTTATTAATGGCTTTGTGTCCGTTTATTTTTAAAAACGTGACTGAAACTGCAACAAAGCAGAACAAATTTGGATTAACTCAACCACGGTTACTCTTTTGAGTTAGAAAAAAAACAATGGTTAATTAGGCCTTCTAATCTCATGGGTTACTTCGGCTCATTTCATAAGTTGTTTTAGAGGTTGTTACTTTCGTTTCACAAATACGAAAACTGAAAAGCGAAACATATTGTATCCTAGATGAATATAGGTGTTAAGCTTTAAATTATTATTATTGGTCTTGTTATTAGTCTTTAGGGTTGATTAGTCTTTTTTATTATATAGAGTTTAGCTTTATATAAACATCATATAGTGTTAGTAGCTTAGGATTATTGGTTTAATCCCAAAAAAAAAAACACTTATTATTATCGGTTTTTTCCCTTTATGTTAATAAAGATGCTCTAGTTTTCTTTCTACGTTTTCAACGGCGACATTTGCCTTTTACTTGGTGTATTGTTTAGACTATTGATTGAGAAAATATACAAAAAGAGTTTTTTTTTGGGATAAGATATGCAGGTCGAATATATAATGTATATAATAGAAAAAAATTAGATAGCCATTATATCTAACAAAAATTACCATGAAGAAAACAGAGAAAGTACCTGAAATACGTAGAGATAGGATCATATTACCTGCAAATATGTAATTCACATTCTGTCAAATAATAATAATAATAAATAACCTATGCAAAAAAAATAGTAAAAATAATAAATAGAAATATATAATTACCGAAAACTTTAAAATAAATAAATATGTATCACGTGCACTTAGTAGCTCTTAAATGTGCATCTAACTCTTATGTTGATGTTTTTCTCAAAAAAAAAAATAAATAAATAAATTTAACTTATACGCCGAATGTACAATAATTTGGAGATATGGGGATTGAACCCCAATCTTAAGAGAATAAGTATATATCAATTACTACTAAATTATATTCATATTGATACTTATACACGAATGTTGTTATACGTGGGTTAACAACCTAAGATAGCGGCTATTTTCCAATTTTAAACTCCAAAGTGACTTCGGCTTAATTTTCTGTATTCTCCTGTCATAAAAGCTAGTGGACTCCACATGACCCAGAATTCTATTGGGCTATGATCCATCCGGCCCAATGATAATAAAGCCTACGGATAAAATACAGTAATCTTCGATGAGGAAAATATTTACAATATATACAATATGAATACAAATTTTCAAATACCAGTAAGAAACACATGCACATGAAATGCATAAGCAGAGCAGAGGAAGAAGAAGTTACTAGGCTCAATTAGAAAAGCTCAAAATTCAGATGGAGAACGAGGCACATGTAGAGAGAGAAGGCCAATCGCCGGTTTGGGGATTGGAATGGGCCTCTTTTGACGATTCAATTAATCTGTAATGTTTAATTAATCGAATACTTTAAACCATTATTATTTTGTAATCTTAAATTTGATTTAGACATTTTAAAAGTTTAGATATCAAAATATAATAAAACTAAAAATTGAGTCAACAAAATAATATTTAAATTTTATGTGACAATCGCCCATATGAGCTTAATTAATCAGCAAAATACCTTACTCCTTTCAGGTAAATTATTTAAAGGAAAAATATTAGTTAAAGTATATTACTAACCGTGATTAATGAGTTTGAGCTATATCCAAAAAGTATATTACTAACCGTGATTAATGAGTTTGACTAATTGATTTATGATTCTTGCATTTTAGTAAACAAAAGAAATAAAAAATTTCATAATCATCTTTGAAGTAAACAGAATTTATATCATCTATCTTATACCAATTTAATAAATTTTACTACAAATATGAAAGATTAAAATTAAAATAAGAACAATCACACCACTCATACGTAATCTTAAGCTCGTCATCAGCTTTCTATGAACTACGACTATAGTAATCTTAAGCTCGTCATCAGCTTTCTATGAACTACGACTATATTTCTCTATACTTGAACTTGGAGTGATGGTCATAATTAAGTTCTCATGATTAATGGTAGAATATCATATAATAATTTCATCAACATTTATTCATTTTTATTAATATACTAATATTTTAAAGCATAGACATAAAAAGATTAAAGCATAAACCTTTCAACAAAAAATACTAAAAAAAAAACTTCCTTACTAACCATAGCTAATTTCTACTCCCTATGTCCTGGGTTCGAATTCAACCCTCCATATAATATCTACAAATATATAAATATATATAAGTTCGTAACTGTATAATTCATATTTAAAGTGAGATATCTAATTTAAATTTATTTTCTCACGAATTTACGTGTATTATATATTTAACTACTATTTTCCATTAACATTTTTGTTCCCATCAAAACTAACACCTACTTGACCAGGTTTTTTTTCAACTGAAAATTGATAGCTCCGAGTCTAAATTTAAGAAGCCGAAAACAAAGGATGATAAAAGCCTAACCTCATCAATCTATGAAGAGCAGCAGATTCAAACGTTTCCATCTCCATCGCTTCAATCCCACCGGCCACCGCCTAGCTGAAGAAGTAACAAACAAATGTCTATTCCGCGCGCCGAGTAATTCCACCGCATTTCCAGAGCAATATATAATATATCAGAAGGAGCAGAAACAGAAGATCGCATTAACACAATAAATAAAGAAGAGAGGGCATGAATCTATAAAGAAACTCACCAAACCGCGACAAAGGCAATAAATCTGCATATGAAATCCCAAACCTCCTGATCGATACTCCGATCCATCAAATTAAAGAAGATCGCGAAGCAATCGTCGCCAAAAATTCGGAATCGTTACAGAATCGAAACGCAAATCTACAATTGAATGTAAGATTCCTTCATAAACCTTCAATCTCTGAAGCGTTCTTGCTACTTTTGAATCGGTTGATTCTACTCTGCGCGTGATATTCCAATTTCATAGAGCTAGGGTTCAGGAGCCCCGCCTTAATTTAGAGAGAGAAACAATATTCGATTCTGATTGGAAAGCAGAGGCAAACCGGAATATAAGAGAGGGGAAAAGAGAAGAGAGGCGCGCGCACGGTACACTCGATAAAAGGAAAATAGAAACTTAAGTGCGAAGAAATCGGTGTAGTTTGGCGCCAAGATGAATAAATATTTAAAACTCAAGTCTTATATAGTTAACTAGATAAAATACTAATTCCTATCCATAATTTGATTTCTATAAATCCAGTATTTATTGAAGTAAATAAAATTAGAAAAATTAATTCGCTATCAATCAATATTCAAAATCATAACCAAAGTGAGTCTGACTCAATATTAATCGGCATAATCAAGAGGTTGTGAGTTCGATCCTTCACCCCACATATTTTACTAAATCATATATAATATATATATCATAAAAATTTACTTGAAATTTGCTAAAACTTTTATTATTATTATATTTTTTTAGATAGAATATATTTTTGGTCATTGAGATTTAGATTTACTTTGTATTTGGTGTCTGAATTAAAAAAATAATCATTTTTTGTCCTTGATATTTAAATTTAGTTTTATTTTGGTTATTGAAGTTTCTAAAGTGAGGTGTTTAGTCCTTTAAGTTTGAATTTAGTTTTTAATTGGTCCTTTAAGTTTGAATTTGATATTGGTCTGGAGATTTTCCAATCTCTTTGGCCTAAATAATAAAGTTTAGTCAAAATATGGTTAATTGTGATATCATCGTTTTGTTAGGTTAATTAATGATGACTCAACTTAAAAGACCAATCAAAATTCAAATTCAAACTTTAGGGATCAATTTGAAACCAATATAAAACCTCACGAACCAATTAAAAATTAAATTTAGGGATCAAATGTCATTTTTGAAATGTAAAGAGAATCTGAAGGACAAAAACGATAATTTTTTTTTGAAAAGGAAAACCAAATAAAAATAAATTCTAAATGTCAGAGAACAAAAAGTGTATTTTACTTTTTTTTTTTTTTTCTCCACACTATTTGGAAATAGCACTGGAATTCCGAGTTCAAAAATAATATTCAATTTCAGATTAAAATCAATTAACCAATTATGTATTATCACGATGTATGGTGTAGGGATCTCTTTTTTTTTCTTTTTTTAAATAACATATTACTATTAATATTGGGAATTTGTTAAATAGTTTTTGGTTCAATTATTTTAATTTATAAATTTTCTTTAAATAGTGGCTCTAGGCTCATGTATACATACATTGTAATAATTAGTTTCAATCATGAGTAACTATTTATTTTGATGATTTTGACCAATGCTTAGGCTACACCACTACATACTGAATAATCTATTTTGAAAGATTTAGGAAACAAGATTTCCAAATGCCATCCATATTTTAAAGGTAAAATATAATTAGCCTACGCATTTAGACATTTTTTTTTCAATTTTATTCATGTATATGTTTTTCTCAAACAAGTCATTATTGTAAATAAATAAATAAAAGACAAATTAATGGTTCACGGCGAATTTTGGAAAACTCAATATCGATGCGGTGTACCACCTAATATACTCAGACCTTCAAGTCATAATCAGAGCATGAAAATAAGTAAACACTTTAAAGTTTAAGTGGCAGATTTTTCACTTACGCCATCAGAGTCCTTCCATTTTATAGGCGCAAGTGGTCAACTAAAAAGGACAACGATTTTGGGGTGTCGGGGCACGTCAAGCTGTGCGAGGTCCTGACGGATAAACGAATGCTCCCGATGGTTAGTTGGTGGTGCAATTACCTGCAAGTTTGTTCCCCGGCAAACAACAGGATTCAAGTTGCAGTCCTCGACGTCTCTCCTGTACAACTGTGGTGGCGATACATTTGTATGCCTGCAAAGAATACGGTGTTAATTGTCTGTGGTCTCGCACCTTGTTGTCGTTCTCGAAATCCGACGCGTGTCTTGCTTGAGTTTGTCCTTCAACGTTAATAATGTAACATCAAAGTACATTTTATTATTTTAGTTGAAAATAAAGTACGTCGTGTTTTAATATCCCATATTTTGAAAGCCTACATACTTGGAATTATTTTATTTGTAGTATTTTATCAAATTTCGTAAAGACTTCGTATTAAAAATGTTATTATACATAATAACCGACCAGCTCATGAAAATGTTATTTCTAAATTCTTATTATTGGAAGGTATTTTAAGGGATTATTAAAAAACAAAGAAATAAGATAATATATTACTTATGAAAATTAAAATTTCAAAAGATTAGATGACTTGAAAAATACCACAAATATTAAGAACTAGGCTATATACTTAGTTACCAAAACATAACGATAGTTCAATAATTAAAATATTAATAATTTTTTATTGGTCGAATGTTTGTACAATGAATCGTTCCATGTCGACAAACGACAGTAACTTATTAAAATAAAATTAAATTTATATGAACGTGATTGAAAAATTATAAAGTTTAAAGTCTAAATAGAGACATTCAGCGAACTTCAAATAGGTAATCTAACCTATTTTATGAAGGATTATTTAATGAGTTATTTTTATATAACAACAATTGATTTTAGGTTAAATAAGTCACTTTATTGACCTGCTTATGTAACTTATAAGTTACTTCATATAGTTTAGTGGGGTTAGTTGTTTGCTACCCCTATATTTTGAGCATATTTATTTCATCAAATTAAACATTAAATATTTTATAGTTCAAGTAATACTGCATAATTATTTTATCAATAAATTTTAATTATTTTTAAAAGAATAACAACAAAATCAACAAAATAACCTAAACATTCGCAAAATTCTATTTGGAATTGAGTTAAGACATAGTATAAGAAAAAGGAAAACGAAAATTAATTATAAACTTCACAAGTTTCAACCATTTTCACCATAAACTTGTAATTTCACAAAATTACACCATAATTTGGATAAATATGACAATTGACCATCAACTTAGTTAAATGTTAAAAATTTCACCATCAAAGTATTTTTACTATTTTATCTATTAATTCTAATCTCCAAAAGTTCGTTGATTTTGATGAAATCAACCTTGACACAAAATTTGATTCCCCCAGGGCATAAAATTGATGGTTGAATAATTCGCTAAAATTTACAATTTAAATAAAAACCAACTATGAAAAAAAAATCTCTCCAAAATCTAATCTACTAATTTCATACAAAACATGTATAATATGGACATAATTCAGTAATTGACATGTACTCATTTCCTCGAGTTGAATGTTCCATCTCCCATATTTTCCAATTATGCTAAAAAAAAGAGTTCAATAATTAAACAGTTTGCTCATTTTTACGACTGAATCATCTATCTCCACAGAAAGGTTATTACAAGTTAAAATTATAACAAAATTTTCAAATTTAAGATAGAAAATGTATCAACTAAAAGTTGGTTTTTTCTCCCAAAAATGAGTTTCCAAGGGAGTGAAGTCACGTAATATTAAATGTTTTGTTCTGAGTGGAAAAAGTGACGTAATATTAATAATAATAATAAAAAAGAAAGAGTTTCATTTTGGATCAAATAATAGATAGCCCCATTTAATACCTAAAAGAAAAAAAAGAAAAAGAAAAAGAAAGAAAGAAAAAGATAGCCCCAATCAATACTTTGCAATTTGCATTGTATGGGTACCATTACACCACACGGCCTGAGCCGGGAAATGTCCGTATAAGATTCAGTTGGTCCTATCAGAGAGCACGTCCCGCCCTTTTCTATAGCACAATAAATAGAAATACCACCGTCTTTATACTCCGATTCTCGTGCCGTTCTCGCATTTCCCGGATTCATGGCTCCAGGTTCGTACAGTTTTTTCCTCTCTTGTTATTGCCTTGATTCCTTGTTTTCTTTTTTTGTTCATTACCGAATCTGATGCGGAATCTTTGTCGTTTTTGCATCTCTGTAGCTCTACGTCCCCTGTATTTCCGCCTATTCTGATGCTTTTTTTTCAGTCGTTAATGGTTGTGTACATGTCAAGTTCTGTTTATGTGAAATCTCGAACATGTAGCTTCCGGTTGGCTGAGAAGGCTTTTGAATTTAGTTGCTACAACGAGTGAGTATCAGATTTAGGAGATTCGTCTGGCTAAACTGAAGTTTGGTAATGACTGCATTGGGTTGGAGCTGGAAATTCAGCATGAATTAGAAGAGTCGATTTTGTGTTTGGATCTTGTCTAATTTTTCAAGAATTATCCCATTGTTTGGCTAGTTGCAAGATCGAGTATCGACTCGATTAGTTTCATTTTTTTTCTTTTTTTATTTTGCATTTGATCGTGTATTTGTTGTTTTTAATGCAGAATTGGATGGGAAGTGGAAACCATGGACGTAACTATACCTAACCGTTAAAACCTCCATCAGAAAAAAATGAATACGGGTTTGCATTCGTTGTCTTCTGAGCTGAATTTTTGGGATGGTGGTATGTCGTGTAGAAGCCTGAATTCACGCACGTCAAATGGTTTTGTAAGAATTTATTACCTCGAACAAAAAAGAAATCGTAAAGCATTAAAGGAAAATGCTGGAAAGTTGTCCATGTCTAGTCCGACCACTTCGAAGCTCATGGAAGGATCATTCAGGAGGAAGAAACAACTCCACAATCCTCGTTTGAAGCTCGAGGTTGTGAGGACATTGTTGATTGACAACTATGATAGTTACACATACAATATTTACCAAGATCTGTCAGTCATCAATGGATGTAGGTCTTTCTATCTCTGTATCTGCTTATGTTTATGTTTCGCATAGAGATCATATGCATTTATGATTTCTCATGGTAGCTGTTTGTTTTTCATGCGTGTCCATTTTGCTTTACAGTCTCTCCTTTATAAAAGTTTAAACTTTTCACACTTCTTATTAAATGAGCTATTCTGTCGTTCTTGTATTTGTGTACCATTATCTGCTTACTGACCTATGTTAATTTTCTGTGTTCGTATACTTGCTAATGCCTGTTAGTATACCTTTCAACCTATTTTAAATGAAAGTGGTCTTCCAAGCATCATGTTGAACCAAGAACATGTTTCAAGTACAATGTTTTTTCAATCTAGAAAACAAACATAAAAATTTCAATAAACCCCAAGGCCATGGACCATTTGAAAAATTAAATAACTCAGAAAGTTTCTCCAAGCAGGAGTACCATTTATAGCTCTCTGGCTGTCCAGGTTTTGGCAGATCATCCCTGCACCTATTGAAGTACCGTTGAGGCTCACAGTTAAGAGTTTTTATTTCTGTTATTATGTTTTGATACTTTTATGGACAACGTTTTACTTCTGTTCGGGGATGACTGAATTAAGACAGATCTTTTCCTGATAATGATTGAATTAGCCATTTATGTTTCATACTAATTACCAGAGTTTTTATTGTTTTCCTCTTTTTTAATTCATCCGGATGGTATAAAAGGCAGGTTGTAGCATAGTCAATGATGATCTATTTCAGCATTTACATTGTTCATCAATTTGTCTGTTCGTGTTGATGGGAAACCTTTACTCCACAATGAAGTTACCTATCTAGAATATGAACGTGTATATCAATTGATTGAACAATAATAGAGAACACAAGTTTTTGCTTTATGGAAGTAAAAGGGATTATAACCGATATCCCAATTAAAACAACTGAACACCGCAAGTATTCTTCATTAAAGGCTCTAGTTGATGGTGGACAGTGGACTTTGCTGCTACTGAAGTGGATGTGGTTGAAGAAAGAAACTGCTTTTGTGCCTCTCTTATACCTCTTTGTTTTTGTGCCAGTGCCTCCTGTGGTCATACAAAATGACGATTGGACATGGGAAGATGCATGGCATTACTTGTATGAAGAGAAGGCATTTGATAATATTGTTATATCACCTGGGCCTGGTTCTCCAACATGTGCCAATGACATAGGTGACTTTGCCTTACCCTTCTTCTGTTGTCTGTTTCTGTTGAATATAATTCTAAAATGTTGACTGGAATATAATATGGTAAACACTCTCTTACAGATTCGTTCTCTACCACGATATTTGCATCAACATCCCAGTGTCATTCAGAATATCAATTATTTTTTTGCTCTGAGCTTTGACTTATTTACCAAAAACAAAATCTAGTTTTTGTTTTAGTCGGAACGTTGTTCCTCTGATTTAGTTTAAAAGAAGGATTTCGGCTGTTTGTCTCTACACTCGTCCTGCTTAGATAACTTTACATGGGAGAGATTAATTGTGGAGCATTTAATCTCACAGGAATATGTCTACGTCTACTCCATGAGTGTGAGGATATCCCCATTTTGGGTGTTTGTCTTGGGCATCAGGTATTTCCTCCCCTTCTAAAGGCAGTTTCCAGTTCTTTTCAGATGACGTCTTTTTATACATGCGATGACTTTTCATTTTTCAGGCTTTAGGATATGTGCATGGGGCTAAAGTTGTTCGTGCAAATGAGCCAGTTCATGGACGCCTAAGGTAGGCTTGGTGTTATTGGAGAAAGCTTCTTGTGTATGTTCACTTGGTAAATCTGAACATATTCATAGGTTTGGAGTATGAATTAGAAAATAAAATAATATGAACGCAGGTTTCTCTTTAATGATATGAACCGGTATTGATTTTTAAATTGTCAGTACTGGCTCTTTTAACATAGGCTATATTATGTGTTTATCCATGCACTTATTTCCCCTTTCACCAACTCTTTTCAGCGAAATTGAGCACAATGGCTGTAGTCTTTTCAATGGTATACCGTCAGGAAGAAATTCAGGATCCAAGGTCAGTTTTCTGTACATGAATAGACATAGCAATAAAATATTTTCCATGGCTATTTTCATGTTCAGTTCTATATGTCATGCCGTCATGTTTGTTGTTGTTTTTTTTTTAAAATTAATTTTACTTAGTTATATGGTGTGTATCATTCCTTGCTTAATATTTTAATGATACTTTTATAATGACCAGTACTCACTGTCAGTGACTACCATCGAAAGGATACATTGTTTTGCATTAAACAATATCATGTAACACTTCTGCTCGACTTATTGCAGGTTGTAAGATATCATTCACTTGTAATAGATCCCGAATCACTTCCCAAGGAACTAATTCCTATATCATGGACATGTTCTGCAGACACCCAAGCATTTCTTGAGATTAGCAATGCTTTCTCAACTTCAGATGCTCATGCCATAGTTTCTAGTGATTCTAGATCAGGAGTACAAAAATCTCCACGTGTTTGGCCAGTCAAGGGCCATCAAAATATGCGAAATGGAAAAGTTCTCATGGCAATCATGCACTCCACCAGGCCTCATTATGGAGTACAGGTGGAGTGTATGGTTATTTTGCTTGTGATTATTAAGCTTTGAATTATCATGCTTACAGTGCCTATGTTTTTACATGACCCCCAGTTTCATCCAGAGAGCATTGGGACCTGTTTTGGCAGAGAGATATTTAAGAATTTTAGAGAGATCACAGAAGATCATTGGCTTAATAATGGACCATTGGTCATCGGCAAAGAAAATGTAGATTATTCTGGTAAATATTCAGTGGTTGAGAAACGTTTTCATACGCATTTAAGCCTCTACTCGTGTGTGCATTTTACGCCCTTTTATTGATTTGCAGCATGGGCTAAATTATTTTTTGCATCGAGTCCAAAGTTCTCAATTACTTTGTAAGTTAGCATGTGTGAAAAATGATTTATGATGAAGAGTTTGTCCATGACTCTGAAGGTCTACGTTTTTTGAGTTGATGGCTAGATCTAAATTGCTGCATGTGTTGAATGGATCCTTTATGTCCTCCACTCTACCCTTGAGAATTCCTAGTTGAACTGGATGACTCTAAGAATGGGGATGTTTTTAGTCTAGTGTTCACCATTTCATTTCTGTTAGTGAGGCATTGAGTGCTTTTCAAGCTTGCATGAGTGGTTTATTAAGCTAATAAAATGTTTGTGGTTTCCCAGGAAATAAAATAATACTGAGGCAACCCGTTGATCAATCAAGTGATGGAGCTTTTTGCAATAGAAGTACTGGGCTTAACGGAACCAGTAGAAAATGTGTCGGCATGAATGATCTTGTAAATCTTTCATGTCCCAGCAATGGAGTCAGATTTCTGAAGTTGAGATGGAAGAAATATGACCATTTGGCTTGTGAAGTTGGTGGTGCAAGAAATATATTTTATCAATTGTTTGGACATCAGAAAGCTGAAAACACATTTTGGCTGGACAGTTCCTCGATAGAAAAGGTTTGGCTATGTCTTGAATTAATTTATCTAATTCTAGCTTAGTCATGTTTAGCATTATAGATTTATATGTGACCTTGACATGCTTGATTCACAATGTTAGGGTTCAAACTAATATTCTTTAATTTTTAAAAGTGACAATCCTTCAAAATGTTGCATCAGGGTCTAATATGATTGATCTCTGATGCCAATATGAGGTTCATGTCAGCAAGTTCTACATTTTACCGTTGTCTATTAACGAAAAGAATAATAGTAATTATGTTTTGATATAATGTCAAAAGTAATTACTTGGACTACTAGTTATGGGTATGAGGTACATGTATATGTTAGGGAATCATTATAATCTGCTCTTACAGATTTTTCTAATAATTGAAGCTGATAAATCTGGGAAGAAGAGAAACAATAGGTTCATTATAACTTAGTATATTTTCATTTTTCATTTTTTTTAATCGTTTGATCTGTCAATGTCTCTCTTTTTGTTCTTAGAACGGCATCTTTCTTTTACAATTGGCCTCATATCATCTGAGGAAAAAACAATCTGTATTACTGTAAGACTTCAACATGTTCTCTTCTTTCTATATTTATGCTTAGTATGCTATTGAAATTCTTTATATTTGTGTCATCATCCCGAGTTCCTTATTTGATTGTAGTTCAAAGGCCACGCATCAACATCGGTCTGATAGCTCACATTATTAATTTTTTACCTTGCAAAGAAAATTCCATCAATGTCTGTTTCGACACTGAATTTATATAGGGAAGAGCACGATTTTCATTTATGGGAGGAAAAGGTGGATCACTATGGAAGCAGATGGTTTTTAAGTTATCAGATGAAAGGTTGGAATTATATTCCTGCACAAATTTCCTCTAGTTTATGGGATTGCGCTTTGATTTCTTTATTTTTCTTTCTAATTATTTTAGTTTACTAGGTTATACCTAGTTTACATGATGCGACAGAAGAAAACATGACCCAACTTATATATAATTGCTAGTTACAAAGTTAATCACATTCTTTTTTCAGTGGAAGTCCTTTTGAAGGAGGAGGTAATCTTTCAATTGAGGATGCTCAAAGCTCAACAACCAACACATTTTTAAAAGATGGTTTCTTTGACTATATAAACAAGGTGCGTGAAGAATATTTCTTGACAAGACATTGCTTACGACTTACATACAAGATGCAATTATACTAGATAGCCTTATCGTATTAGAAATATTTGTTAATTAAATTGTGATGTGTATTTCTTTGCATGATTTGGTATGATTTATAGTTCTCTTACCTAAAGCTGTAGAACGCTGCCTTAGAGTCAACCTGTTGAAAAGATTTGCCAGTTGTACTTTCTTGAATGATAAATACAAGATGTGAACAATATATTGCCTTTTTTGTCTTTCTGAAGTTTGATAGACTTGTTGCTCTGAAAATTTTCCTTGACCAAACTCGTTTAAGTAAGGTTGTTAAAATTTTATCATTAAAAATGACATTTAGGTGTAAATTTTTTTTAACCTTACTACAAATCAAACTAGAGTGTTTATCTGGGTATTGAGACTTATGTCGTGTGGTATTGAAGGATTTTGTTTCATTGTCTATAACCTGCATAATAATCTGCAGTTCTTAGTTGCAAGATTACTATTATCCAACACAAGCTGTTCTTTGGTAGCAGTCAGTAGTAGAGGAGCTAGGTTGGGATCTAGAGGTCAAGCTTCTTGTTGCACTTCTGAGATGCCAGTTCTGCTTCTTTTTAAGATCTTCGAGTAACCATAAGATGTCTGATTGTTTGAGTTCTCATGGAGGAAAGTTTGATTGCCTTTACATTATAGGTGTGTTATTCAAGGGGCAGTTTATCTTTATTTGAAGATAGGTTTGAGTTCGTTTATGAGGACCTTTACTGACATGACTTGGTTCAATTGCTTTCTTGTAAATGAACGTTGATGATCATCTTGATCATAACTTGAAGTATTGTGGATTTTTTTGTTATATCCTTTAACCCGTCTTAATAGCGATATAAACTACCAATCAATTCAGTTTATGAAACATATATCTTGACGTTTAATTTTTGTAGGAGCTTTCATCTTTTCGATATGAGAGAAAAGACTATGAAGGGCTCCCATTTGACTTTCATGGTGGATATGTTGGCTATATCGGGTATGTGACTAGTGTTAAGATTATAATAATATTGAGTTATTTTGCATTCATGAGTCATGTCAAAATTATGGAGGTTTCAGCTTCTTTACAGCTGATAAAGTCATACTGTGAGGTTGTCTTTTTGGTCCTTTGGCTATTTAATAGAGATTCACCCACATGTTAGCTCATGATTTAATTGTTTCATGCTTGGGTTGTCTTCTGATTTTTGGGTGTAGTATTAGGGTAATAGTGAAAGAGGATATGAACTCTTTTTTTTTTTTAATTATTTTGTTATTATTATTTTCCTTTCTTCCTTTTAAATAAATAAGGAAACTTTGTCTTATCAAAATATTAATAGTGCAAAATGAGAAACTCATTAGCTGAGAGGACTTTACAAAAGAAAAGGTGCTCTTATCATTAATAATAAAAGATCAACTATGATTACAAAAATATTTAGATAAATTGCAGAAACTAGGTACCAAATCTTAACTCTCTTCTCAATCACTATCTGATAAATTGCAGACTCTGTTAATAATTATCTAGTTCCTCTCTGATGATATCTCCCATAGAAGGTGGCTTCATAGCTTTATATGGAAAAACCACTAATTTCCCCCTTTTTCTAAAGCTAAAGTCTCACAACAATTTCTCCGGACCTCCTTAGGACTGAGGGAAGCACCACCTAATCCCAAAAACTTAGAGAGCTTCTTTTACACATTGAAAGTATTTTAGAGTAATGCAAAATATACGCTTGTTCTTCCAATGCATTTTTTTTGGAGAATGCACCAATTTAGGCGGCCAAGGAAGGATATCTTTTCTGAATCCTCTTTACTACTTTCAACCCCCCAAAACTGCTGTCCATAAGAAGTGTTTTTCTTGGGCGTTTCTGCCTCCAATGACCATACCTATGCTTTCTTTAAGACAATATGTGTATTCATATGATGATGGAACAAATATTTATAGGAAAAGAACACCTATTCCCCAACAACCATCTCGAGTCTTCTTAAATACTGGTTGAAAATTTTAGATCAATTACAAAAGAATAATCCTCTCAAATTCTTGATATCTGTCTTACAATGATTTTCCACTCCCTCTCCTCTTTGTCGACAGAAGTGAGGGTTATCAAATAAAAGATCTGGTATTCAAACGTATGACAAGGACATGGATGAGAGCAGTTATAAACTTTTTTCTTGATTAGACAATTATAATGTTGACGACTGCAACAAAGAAAGAGAGAGAATAGTTCACCTTGTCTTAGGCTTCTAGTACAAAGTGGCTCTTAGCTCCCTGTTTAAAAAGAAGAATTATGTGTTTGAGATGCAGAGCCACAAATCCACTCCACCACCTAATTTTCAATCACCTCTTCTTCTCCCGGATGACCACAAGAAACTACCGAGCTGTAAAGTCATAAACCCTCTTCTTCTATAAACCAATCTTGGAAACTAAGGAATTCGCCATTCATCAACAGTTCCTTCCATTAACTATATAATAGAGTCAACGATCTGCTTCTTTTCCACAAAAGGCCATTTGGTTGCTAGAAATGGTTATGGAGAGGACAGTTTTAATTCTGTTTAAGGACTTCGTGTACAATTTTCTACATGATAGTAGCTAAGCTTTTATGCCAAATGAAATTTTTGTTAATTCGAGATTTGAGAATGTTGTGACAAAGAAAAATGAATATACGAGTATGTGCATCTACACACATAGAATTCTAACATTGAACCATTGAGCTTCAAAGCTTTGGAAGAGTTCATTAGGAGGGGACTTTAATGTATCTAGATGGAGCTCTGAAAAATTGTTGGGGAGAGGAACCACCAAAAGTATTGGGACCTTGAATGAGATTGGACCTTGAGTTGGTTGACATCCATACGAGAAATGGGAGATTTCCCCGCTCAGATATAAGAGAGCAGCGGGCAACTTCTCGTATTGATAGGTTCTTAATTTCCAAGATGTGGGAAGACACTTTTAAAGAGGTAAGGTTAGATTGGCTGCCTCATATTACCTCTGACCACTTTCTGATGCTGCTTAAATCAGGTACGTATGAATGGGGGCCCCCCTTTTCTTTTAAAAAATTTTTGGATGGAGACTCCCAACTTCTTAGAGAATATGGAAGGTTGGTGCAATAATCTGATTTCTGATGGGTGGCCAGGACATGCATTTATGAATAAACTGAGATAGCTGAAGAGAAAGCTTAACTAGGGGAACAGAGATCACTTTGGGCACATTGGCAGAGAGAAGAAAGAGATAATTGATCAGACAGGGGAAATTGATGATGAAGAAGAGTAGGGTTTCTTGACTTCGGAAAAGAGACTTAAAATAATAGAGCTAAAAACAGCCAAACTGAACTTAATCATTAAAGAGCAGAGGTCTTGGGCGCAAAAGTGTAAAGTTAAATAGCAGGAAGGGGATGAAACTAATATTTTTCTTTCATAAGTGGGCTTCCATGAGGAAATGTCAGAATTACATTTCTATGTTGGAAAAGGAAGACAATGGCGTCATTTTATCAGAAGATGATATTGTGAAAGAGGTGGTAAAGATTTTTGAGACTTTGTATTTGAAGGAAGAGTGCAGAAGGTTCAACTTTGAAGGCTTAAATTGGGCCCTATTGAATGCTCACTGGTCCGAAAGTTTGGAAGCTCCTTTCGAGGAGGAGGAAATCTACAATGCAGCGAGGTATCTTGGCAACCTTAAATCACTTGGCCTAGATGGAATGATTAGTGAGTTTTATGAAAAATCTTGGAACATCTTGAAGCCCGATCTTGTATGGGTGTTCCAAGATCCTTTTGGAAATGAAATTGTTAACAAGAAGACTAATGAGACTTATATTTGCTTCATTTCGAAAAAGAAGAGAACTTCAAAGGTGAAAGACTTCAAGCCAATAAGCTTAGTCACTCCCTTGTACAAAATTATATCCAGAGACTTGGCTGAAAGACCTAAAGAAATGCTGCCTATTATAATTGATGATGCTCAAGCTTCTTTTGTGGAAGGCCATCAGATTCTAGATGCCATTTCAAGAGCTTCAGAACGGTGGAAAACTGTAGGGAAAAAGGAGAAAAAAGTCTTTTGTTGAAGCTAGACTTGAAAAAGGTTACCACAAAGTCGATTGGTTATGGGGCTGCATTCTATAGTAAACTTTTCAATCATCATAAAAGGAACATCTAAGGGTAAGTTTATGGCTCAATAGGAGTTGAGACGAGGAGACCTGTTGCCTTTTCTTTGTACTATTATCAAAGATGCTCTTAGTCGTTTTATTCATTTTTGCGCTGAAAAAAGAGTGATAAAGGGATTCACATTAGGTGATCCCCCGATTGAAATTACCCATCTTCAATATGCTTATATGCAGACAATACCCTCTTTTTTTTCTCTCAAATAAAGATGGAAATGTAGAGAAATGGTGGTCGGTTTTGAATATCTCCCTCTCAGAGTCTGGGCTAAGTCTTAACATGGCAAAAAAGGGCTTTGATTGGGATAAATTCCACTGAAGAAGAGGTGGAGCAGCAGGCGGTTGTTTTGGGATGCACCATAAAAAACATGCCTTTCACCTACCTTAAGGTTTTCCTTTGGGAGGCAAACACCGAAAAAGCAATGTCTGGGGTCCCTTGGTGGATAGAATGAAGGCAAAGTTTGATAAATGGACAAATATCTTCCTCTCAAAGGCAGGGAGGCTCGCATGCTCAATCAGTGCCAAATAGTCTTTTAATATATCTTTTTTACCCTTCTAAGAGCCCCTGGAGGAACAATTAGAGCTATGGAAAATTTGATGAGAGATTTTATTTGGAATGGTGGAAACTTCAATCCATGTACTCACCTGGTAAACTTGAAGATTACCTCCCTCCCCGTCGTCTGGTGGCCTCAGAGTAGGCTCTTTAGAGCAAAGAAATGGTGCCCTTCTGACTAAATGGCTTTGGAGGTTTATTCATGAGGAGGATTCATTGTGGAGAAGAACGATTGCTAGCATGTATGGGTGAATCAGAAGGGATGGCTGACAATCCCTCATAAAAAGAAAAAAGGTGGCCGGGTGCGGTAGAAGAATCAGATTTTGGGAGGATTCATGGCTGGGACAAATTTCTTTAGCCCATTTATACCGACATCTACATTATTTCATGTAAAAAGGGAGCCTTCATTGTTGATTGCTGGGATTCAAACCATCAGACTTGGAATTTGGGCATTAAGAGAGAGTGTTGACTAATTGGTTAGCTCTCCTGGGTAATCCAAACAAGTTACATCCAAGCAACGAAGATGATAAAATAGTTTGGTCCTTTATAGGCCAATTAGACTATAGTTTTGACATTTCCAAACCAACTAATCATAGTCATTTAAGTAGTTTCGAAAACTGTCTTTCAGACAAGCCATAAGAGTTAGAATATGGGTTTTAGGGGTTCTAGGTACCTTTATGTATGGGTTTATGTATTTGGATGTGCTTTCAGATATCTCTTTCGTTTGCTGCTTGTCATTTTAGATGTTGGAGTATGTTTGAGTTGAAAATCAAGAAATCTGAATATTTTGAATAAAATTAGGAAATAGTTGCATTAATCTTCCGGAATACTGGAATGCTAATAAAAAGATAACGCGTTTTCGTGTATGCTAACATAACCCTCTATATTGTGCAGATATGAACTCAAAGTAGAATGTGGTGCAGCATACAACCAACACAAGTCCAGGACTCCAGATGCGTGTTTCTTTTTCGCTGACAATCTTTTGGTCATCGATCACTACTCCGATGATGTATACTTGTTATCAATACATGAAGAATGTTATACTTCGACATCATGGTTGGACAATGCAGAGCTTGAGCTTATGAAATTGAAAACTTCCGTTCCAGAGAAGTTAACTGAAGAAATTTCACTAAATGAGTCATTTACCCGATGTAAAGTAGATTTTGTTGCCAAGAGATCAAAGGAGGGATATATAAGTGATGTCGAAAAGTGTAAGCAATACATCAAAGATGGCGAAAGTTACGAGTTGTGTTACACAACCCAAATTAGAAAAAGAATTGAGGAAATCGATGCTCTGAGACTTTACCTTAGGCTTAGAGAAAAAAATCCAGCACCTTATGCTGCTTGGCTAAATTTTTCAAGCGAAGATATATGCGTCTGCTGTTCATCGCCAGAACGGTTCCTACAGTTGAACAGGGATGGCGTTTTGGAAGCGAAACCCATCAAAGGTACTACAAAGCGTGGAGCGACAACAGAGGAAGATGAACAACTCAAAATGCAGCTGCAGTATAGGTACGTTATTCAAATTTTTAGTGCTGCAAAACCCTGATAGTTCTGATAGTAAGTTATGCATTAATAAAACAGGAGCTATGTACCAATGTTTCATATTCTGTGGTGGGTCTTTTAAAAAATTGTCTATTTTGAGATGAATTTTGAGCGATCTCAGTTTATTTCCCTCAAAAAACGTAATGTTCTAATAACAAATACTTTTTTGTCTACCTTGGTTGTAGTTTAACCTCATTTTCACCCTATCGGATTTGCCTTTACTCTTTTGAAATTGTATGTTAGAGTATAGATATTAGTATATTTTATATTCTTGTATTAATATTAATTTGTCCTTTGTCCTTTACCTTCTTCTTATAGGATTAGGTCAACCTTGCATATTTGTCTATATATATAGACTTTAGTAATGAGAATAAGAATAATCGAGTTCTCTGGAACCTTAGTTTCTACATTGTATAAATATTTGATTTTAACACAGATATGTTATCAACTAACATTTACTTCTCTTGGCACAGTGAAAAGAACCAAGCTGAAAACTTAATGATCGTTGATCTTCTAAGGAACGACCTCGGTCGTGTGTGCGAACCGGGCTCTGTCCATGTTCCACTGCTCATGGACGTAGAATCATATGCAACAGTTCATACTATGGTGAGCACGGTTCAAGGCAAGAAAGAGTCAAATGCAAGTGCCATTGACTGTATAAAAGCAGCATTTCCAGGTGGTTCGATGACTGGAGCGCCGAAGTTGAGGTCAATGGAGCTCCTCGACTCCATCGAGAATTGTCCTCGAGGTATCTATTCGGGTTGCATTGGATATATCTCATACAACCAGACATTTGATCTTAATATTGTGATAAGAACAGTTGTTTTGCATCAAGGTGAAGCTTCCATAGGAGCTGGAGGAGCTATTATTGCTCTCTCAGATCCTATTGATGAATATGAAGAAATGATATTGAAAACTCATGCTCCCTCCAGGGTGGTTATGGAATTTTCTTAGAACTTTTTCCATTGTATTCTAGCCTTAAAAAATCCTTTTTTTTTTTAATATATGTCAATGGTGTCTTGTATTATAATGGAACAACGGAACGAACTCAGTTGCATAAAATTTCATTTTGTTTCATCTTAAATGAGTTTTCTTGATAGAGTATGTTTGGAAGTGAAGCTAGAACTGGTAATTTTGAAAAGACAGATTTAAGTATAATTAATTTTTCAAAATCATCATAATTTAAAGTGATTTTAAGTTTTTCTAAAATTAATTTTTTTAATTTGTCAAATATGATAAATGAAAAAGGAAGTGATTTTTGATAATGCAAAAGTTCACTCCTAAACAAACTCGTTAAATACTTATTTTTGAAAAGTAATTTTAATTTAAGCACATTTTTAAAAAGTTTTTCTTAAAAATGATTTTAATCACAAGTAAGTTGGTTTGTTTTCTTTTTAATTTCTTGAGTACAATAAAAGGTGGGAGTGAAGGGATTCAAACTTAAGACACGTCAATTGTCATTGAACTAAACTTATATTGGTTAAAAACTTATTCTACCAATGTTAGACTACCACGAGGTAATTTAAAATGAGCATTTTTAATTAACAATATAATCTAAATAAAAACATATGTTAGAAATATGGTTTCTAACCTAAATTTAAAAATAACGTAGTTTAAATTTTAAAAGTTAAAATAGGATAATGGTTGAAAATACAGGAACTAAACTGTAACATGTTAGAATTTAAAGATTAAATCACTCTTTCAATGAAATTACATAAATTAAATGTGTTTATAACTTAAATGGTTGAGATCAAATTCCTAATTTAACTTTGTAGTAACTAAAAACTGAGTTCTGTACCCGATGTGCAGGTTGCAGTTATGTTTGTACACAGTAAATGGAGTTATGGCTCTCATTTATTGATAACCTGACAACTTTTATTTATTTATTATTTTTCGGTTAAAAACAACTGAAAAATCATGGCAACAGCTACCTTTTCAAGATAGAATATCACAATTATGGGGGTAAAAATTTCAATCTAAAACTTTTTTTTTAAATGTAAAAAATATTTTAGAGTAAAATATAGTTTTGATCCCTGAATTTGATAAGTGTTTATTTGGCCCATAAATTTTAAAAAGTGACTTTTTACTCTCTGACATTTTGAAAGTTGTTCTAAATGGTCCTTCAATTTATTTGATGGTTAGTTGATTAACCGACATATGATGTGTTATAATTGAATGATAAAATTTTAAATGACGTGACAATATTAAATAATTTTATATATTTTTATGTAATTTTAAATTCATGGTTTTTTCGCCTTCTCTCCCTTCCCTTCTTCTCCAATTTTCACTGTTCTATCATTTTCTAACTTTCTCCAATCAACGCGACAACCAGTATTTTATTAAAGTAAAGAAGGGAAAAAAATTGATTGAATAAAGGAAATAGCCCAAACGAAAATGGTGGCCGTAGTTGTAAATTTTGAGATATCTTCCCTGTAAAGACTGTAAATACTTCGCCTGGTCACAATCCCTCTGCCTCTCTACCGCTCGCCACTCGCGTCAACAAAAACTACACAATGGAAATGTCGAGGTCTCAAGTTCATCAAAATACTTAAAGATGACAACGAGTGGGGCAGGATTGGGGCTATCCCCATCCTCGTCCTGTTGGAGATTTTTTTCCTATCCCCCTCCCCCGTCCCCGAAATTTTTGGGGCGGGACCGGTGGGAGAATCCATCCCCATTATAAATATATTTTAAAATTTTTTAATTAATTTTTGTTATTATTAGTATAAAGAGTGAACAAAAAGTGGCTAGATGAGGTGTTAGCTTGAGTTTTTTTTTAAATTAAAAAGTATTTATAAAATAAATATATTAATATTATTATATAAAAAATATAAAAAATAATAAAAAATTAAATGAGGCAGGGTCGGGGTCGGGGTCGGGGATGGGGATGTGACGGGGGGACCGATCCCCGTCCCCGCCCCGTCGTCGCTGGGGAACCCGATTGGGATCTCCGATCTGGCCCCGTTCCCAATCAAACCGGAGAATCCCGACCCGATCGGGTCCTGCAGGTAATACCATCCCTAAAAATACCAGTGAAAATATCGATAAAATATCGATGTTGATGGATATTTATGTAGAAGTTAGAAAATTTTAAAAATCGTAAAAATATTTAAATTAACAAATAAACATTTTTCTATTTCTAAATGAGTTAAAAATAATTAATATTAATATTATGTATATATTAATGACATTTTGTTGATATTTTTTATATTTTGTCAATTTGTTTGTACTATGATGAAAATGTCGATTTACCTTTCATGTCGATGTCGAATCCATGGTAACATAGATTTGTCAATATAAATTGTCTTTGGATATTTAAAACCATGGTATATATATACGTTGATAATTTTATCCGTTTATGTTGACATCTTACCGAGGATATTTATTTTAATTGGTTGAGCTAAGTTTGTATTGGCTTAGACTATATCATTTTATGATTGTATTTGAGCATTTCTTTTAATATGATAGGAGTGTTTTGTTAGTTAAAATTAATATAGCTTTTTAGTATGTTGAAAGGTAATTTTTTAATTTAATTTTGATCTTGTATTAATTAGAACAAATTTAATTACATATTTCTTAATGAAAAGATCATGAATTCAAATCTTCACCCAACGAGATATTTTAGAAAAGTATAACCATCTTTTAAGAAACTAAGGACTAAAATTGACTCACACATCTAAATTTAAAAGATAAAAAGTGAATTTTCTTCGTCGAGATACGTGAAATAATTATGGTCAGAGGATGTCAGTCACTGTAGCACCTGATCAACGTGCTTGGTGGACCCTAATAATAATAAGAGGATAAATAAAGAAAACTAATTTTTAAAAAAATAAAAAAATAAGCCCCGAATTATTGATTGATGGTTCATTTCCGGAACATTGCGTTTAAATTTATTGTTTATTAAATTTCTACGGCTCTAAATTTATTTCGGATAATATCACCTCCTCTCTCCAGAGAGAGGATTCAGGGCTGCTTCTGGTTGAATATTTTGGTTTGACATTATTTTAGACAAAAAAGGAAAAAAAAAAAGTGAACTATCTGTGAGTTAAATTTGGAAATTTTTTCAACAAAACTCATAAATTTATTATTCTTAAGTCAAAATAAGTTGATAGGATCCTCTTTTCTATGTCCCCAAAAGATAAGGTAGGGTCGAAAAAAAGAAAGGGATGAAGTTTCTCTCGCTTTTAATATTGATGAAACACCAAAGACTATTAGCTCAGTACTCAGTAGTATAGCGTACTCTTGATAATGAACCGAAGAATCATAGAAATTGCGTTGCAAACGAACAATGAAATCTACTTTTTTTTTTCTCTGAAGAGATGAAAGTTTTAAATTTTCGTATTCTACCTACCATAGTTTTAAAAGAAAAAGAAAAACCTCAATTGTACTTCTTGACATAATATATGTAACTATAAATAACTTGTAAAGTTGGATTTTGATGCTACTATAGAACCATTTATAGATCAAATTGAAATTATGTTGAAACAGTATCCCTCGGTCTCGTACCGATGGAAATAATTGTCCTCTCTTATATATCATATCAAACCAGTACCACCAAACTAATGTACAGAATAGAACACAACCACGAATCACATATTGACTATACCATCCGAGATTTATTAGAGACAACGATATCTCTGGTAGCTCCACAATATTAATGTCGTTGTTTCATCCAAAATAATGATTAATACCGATAAAAATAATTATTGTTTCCAAGACTTTTTCTACACTCTCTCGCAAACCCAATAATATATCACGATAAAAAAAAAAAAA